TGCTTCCTTCAAAGTTTTTCATGTCTCACTGTTTTCCAGTGCTTAAAGGCTTTCACCCTTTAGTCCCGAAGAAACAGATAAGGCAATGGCAGTGGCACTGGACTCCTATACGTGCGAGGTCGTGATCAAACGTTTGAATGTGTCAGGGGCATCTGGCAGCTGTTGAGGTTAAAAGAAGGTAAAGGAAAAATCTAGAATTTCATCCTTCATATTGGCTAGGAATTTCTTTTTCAATTCAAGGTAGCCCTTTATAATAAACTTTGAGAGCTTCGGCTTGAAATGATGTTCGCATTCTTTTATGAGGCGTTTTCCTCCAAAGGCTAGTCACAAATGATACCCTGTCTAGAGTGGACCCTGACGCAAGTCCTGAATTTTCTCGCAGTTTTTCTTTTAAAGTAACTTGCATTAAGGTATGTTTACCTCAATCAATAGGTTCCAGATTACTCACCTCGTTCTATTTAAGGTTCAGCAATGAATTAACCTTAAGAAAATGAACACCGATACAGGTTTCACCGTATTCGATTGTGGAAATGATTGGGTAAATTCATAAAGATGAACATTCAGCTGACATTACTGAAGGCCAATCATCAGAGCTATACCTTCTAAGCTATGAAAAGAGTAGGAGTTTCCCTCCAGGATCGCATTTTCAAAAAGATTTGATCGCCCACAGCGTTGATAGCTTCTTCTTCTTCTTTTGTTCTTAACACAGGCGTGGAGCCCATGACCCCAGATAAGTTACCACTGCGCCTGCAATAACTTTTATTAACTGTTTCTTTAATAAATGGTTAAGAATATCTGAAAGTCATATCTTTATCAGCCGTGAAGTTTTCTTAGAGTCAAAAGCATCTGTTAAGCCTTTTCTTTTTTGTAATTCAAAGCTATTAGATTCACCAATCGGATCATTGTACTTGATAATTAGTAGTAAAGATTACGCGCTTCAAGCATTTTTCCATAAGTTACGTTACATATTGTATCTCTAGATTGTCGCACCGGATCGATCGATCGATTAAATGATCGGTAGCTTGGTGGTTTATCAACAGATTGTTTC